GTCCTGATAGCGGAACGGAGAAGATTCGCATATAATGTTGACTTATTTATCGTAGAAAGAGCCCATGGCCACAACCTAACATTGAAAAAATGCAGTCACTGGTTTCATTTCGAAGAGTGCAACCTGGACAAGGTCGTCCCTTGACGTCTATAGTTGCGGGACAATTCCAGTTTCAAATTTACTTACCTAACAACATCAATAAAGTGAGACGAGACTGCTTCAATATGTTCATCATTCTTGTACCAGTGATAGCGAGGCGATGGAAATCCAACAGCTCTACAGTGCAACCGCACTACGTTACTGTCCTGTATAATGTTGACAACTATTTCGTCTGTTTTTGCCCATCGAAGTGGCTCTGGAATGAAAGGAGATTGGCCATCGTAGGTACAATTAATTACTCCCGACATTTGTTATTTAACGATAAATTTCTATCCAGCAGAAAGAACTGACTGGATGAAATTGAAGCAGCCGACTTTGGAATATCTACTCCAATATTGACATATATCTACTGAATTACAGCAGTTTATTACACATTGACGGCAGCACAGCAACTCATGCTGCTTTTGCAGGCCCGTGGGACACTGTGGCAACTATTAGTGCCGCGCCCAACACATTCATTTTCGTACATGTAAAAAAATTTTATGAGTTCGTTTTATGATCTATGTATTGACGTAAAGATAGTGTTTCATGGAACGGTCAAATATGCTTTAGTGTGGTAGAGCTTTTTAAGACTAATCAGCTCAGTTCAATCCTCGTTAAAATGAATAAGTAGACAAAAAGGAGCTTTAGAGGTAAATACAAACGTATTCTGATGGCAAGATGTTTTTACTTCGGCAACTGCGTTCAAAATGATTTTGAACCCAACACTGAAAAAGTAAGCAATTTTTTCATCGCCATTACACGTCCTATTGGTGTAAATTCTTCTACTTGACTTTAGGATAACTTTACAGCATTGAACATTTTCAAAGTATTTTGTACCATCCAAGTTTTGAGTATTTGAGAGTGAAAACCCACGGAGCAAACGCGATGGCGTCAACGAGCTAAATTAGGAAGTCTTTTCCCAGTAAAACTCCATCACAACACCATCATTTCAACTGTAACTTTGTTATAAACTAATTTACATCTTCAAGTTCTGTTGTGCTAAATTAGGGAAGCATTGAGAAAGCTCATGGTCAGTTTGAACTAGTAAGCACAAGCCTACAACCCAATGGATTGAAAAACAAGCGAGCGTTGCTAGTAATTCGTGAAGCAAGGCATATTTATTTCACATTTTGCTCAACACTACGCGCAACAGACACAACTTATATGGAACATAGGACGATTTTTTTTGAGTTCTACGAACTTTGACATTGAATCTTAAGAGAATTTGAATCTCACTGAATTTCCTTGAAAGAATGAGTTGTGCTTGGTCCATAGCTGCTCCATGATGCTTTGAAAGAGCCTGCAGTCGTGCCAGCAGGTCACGTACCGATTGACCACGATTGCTCCAGGCTCGTAGAACATATTCACCCGGATTTGTTTCTCTGCCAACTCTCTCTACCTCGTCCTCGCTAAACAAGTTGTATGGAGTTTAGTATGTTAGCAAAACTGATTTCCACGAACCTCATATAGTAGATGCTATTCCTATTTGTGTCCACGATTTTCATCCAAAGATCTCCTGATGTGAGACAGTTGGAGAGCAACTGCGAGGTTTTCAAGTTCAAATCACCGAGGTTAGTTTCAAGAGACGTCATCACCACTCTTAAAAGTTAATTACTAATAAACAAACGCAAAGAGATTAGCATAAGCTCCCGGAAAGAAAACTTACATAGCGTTCCTTCGTAAGTCGAGTTCGGTCTCGAAAATGTGCTTATTCTACGCTGCTCCTTCACCATTTCCCCGTGTTTGAGCTTACCTGAGCTCACATGAAATCGGATGTAGCATAGCTTCCTTGAAAGAATTTAAACTTGCCTCACAATATTTTCTCAAAAATTAGCGGCAACATTAGAACGACAGGAACAGAGCGAGCCAGGCCAATAATGTTGCCAAGTAATTAGTAAATATAATGCTGTCCTTGTATCAATTAACAACAATTTCTGTCAATGATTAGAATGTGAGAATCGAGAATGCAGAGAAGACGAGAAAGTCATCAATTGAAAGCGAATGGGTGCTGGTTTTAAACGATACACTTAACTCGAAGAACACCCACCCAGTCATCATCACCAGCACATTGGGTAGGTGTTACCCCAAAGAGATAACGAAAAGAACAAAGCGCTACTGCTTCACTTGAGACGGCTCAGGAAGAGAAACCCTTTAAACGTTCAGGTCGATGTGATCTTAAGAGAGAATATGTGAGCTTCATTTCTAAAGAGAGGGTTTTGAAAGTATTATTACATTGGCCAAGAAGTAAAAGGAGACCTGACATTTCTTCAGCACTGTTTTCCATACCTTAATTTCCAATAGGGAGAATGTTTGAACCTGCTTAGCCCTTGAGTGTTCAAAAGAATAAGCACCAAATTCTGTGACAAAGAAAAGGAACGAATGAACAATCAATGATGAGAGCTCGAAAAGCGCCTGCACAGAAACTCATCAGATACACGCCCGAGAAGCTCGGTAGGGATTATGGTGTAGTCCATGGCTACAAAACAGTTTTCATATTGAAGAACGCTAATTCATCCTTGAGGTGCCGCTTTTCTACAGATTCTAAGCCAACCTAGTTGGGAGGGGAGACAGTCGCCGCCGCGGCATGGCGACACGTTCGCGCGCTTTAGTGTAGAAAGAGGAAACTGTGGTCAGGAGATTACAAAAGTTGAGGAGGACCGTAGGGAGGGGAGAGATGGGAAGCGAGTCACTTTACATGCGTGAAAAGCGAATTGTGAGAGCTTACACTGTCTCGCCGAGAGGCCGCAGGCATGCCACACGCCGCGGCGGCAACTTCCTCAACTATGGCCTCAGATTCTGTGCAATAGTGATGTCCTTGTCAAAGTCCAACTTGCATTCCAAACTTCTTTCTTTACCCATCAACTTTCCCGATAAATGCAACTATCTCACAAGTCATCTTTGGGGTATAACTGTGCCAAGCTGGTAATTAGAGGCTAGATTAGTGGGTCGACAATGGGGCACCACGAGCCAGTTTGTAACATTAAACCAGATTTACGGAAACGCGCTCAGTTTCACAACTAGACCTTAGAGGAGAAGAGGGTATCCAAGGTGCAACAGCAAATCTCGTCTTTGTCCCGCTCCGCTGTCTTAGTTTTAAAGGCCTTCCTACAGACTACCCCCAGGCACTGGGGTCGACGAACTAACTGAACTCGGTCCTTTAGGCCGATGTCAGACCTTGCGAATCGCGCGATTTGCAAAGTCTGACATCGGCCTTTAAGCTGCCTCACTCGACGCTTTCGTCTGCGCTCTCTCGCCTTATCAGCGGCTCCACCACTGCGATCTCACACATTCAAACTTTTGCCACAATGCAATTGGCTCACCCACCTCGGAGTTCCCTCCCTTTACAAGGCTTAGTCCACACGGATCTCAACTCTTTAAGGACTTGGAACTGAGCCTGGCACCGTTCCCTAATCGTCTGTGATCTCCGCCATTCGTGAGGCTAGGACCCACAGAAGAAGTCAAATGTGGTCCGTAAAAACTCATGTTGATCTCTGGGGTACTTCGTGCTGTCTAGAGTCTAGAAACGCAGAGCATGGCTGGTCCTACGATGCAACCCTGCCTTCCCCAGCCATAGGATAGCAACAGCGGCTGGGTAAGCGTCCCCTCACGGGGGGGGGGGATAGGATACGGCCCCTCGGTGCACTTGCCGCGGAAAAAAAAAAACTTCGCGTGCGAAAAGCGGAAAATTCTTTTTCTCTTGTTAACCACACCCTGCATCAGGAATCCACCATACATGTCCGACGTTGTAGCCACCCGCCCCGTGGAAGCACTTTCTTTGAAGGGTTGCGCTGCCCACCTGTCCAGAAGATAGAGCACACCGATCCTATGAAACCGGCATTCCCCCAACCATACCATTGAATCAGGATCTCTTGCGGGAGGATAGGCCGCTTCCAGAAACTCAAATTTTTGCAAGGACAGGAAAGATACCGAATGCGTGAACCATTTCGTTCCTGCTTTTCCTCTCACATCCCAAAATTTGCTTTCTCTACTGAATTACTTAAGGCGATATGAGCTGCCGCGCCATTGCCCAATTACTAGATCACGGGCGCTAGACAAACCCGCAGCTTTCGAAACTCCTGCAGCTCATCCCTCACCGCTTCTTCCCTTCAACGGGCGGACCACAACCAACCATCCACCGGCTTTTGAAAACGACGTTCTGCACGAAACCGAGAACAGCATCTCACCTCACCTGTTCGCGCAGCGACGCCGTCGTCGAATGGCGAAGCGGTCGGCAACGTGCCAAGTCCCGCCCCCACCGCGTCGACAGGCATTCTTGGTTTTCACTGCGTACCAAGCGGCCGTGCACTCGGCTGAGTATTTGCTTATATGCATGCGTCTGCCGCTAGAGTCCAGAGAAAACTCTGGCCAGGCAGAGAACGGGGGGCGTTGCAACTAGCGCATACACAACACTGCTATCGATCGGTTTGTGTCGCCAATCAATACTTTTCTCTAAAGGTTTTCCTTTGCCGTTAACGTTTTCACCTTATCGATCCTAATCATACATATCTCTCTGTGGGAAGATTCTTGATTTCTACCGATTTTTTGAATACAATACTGGTAGGATTGAAGTGTAAAGAGCGGCGGGAAAACGCGCCTGCAACATAAACGTCAGAGTTGTAGCCTTCGAATGAAAATCTGGAACGGTTGGTCTGAAGCATTTGCAAACAGCTAGCTTTCTGTGAGTTCTGCATCTTCTAAGCAATCGCTTGCTACTGGCGCGTTACTTCGTACATAAAACGCGAACGGCTATCGCAGATGTAAGACCTTGAACTCGAGGTCACTTTTGCTGAGTGGCGTTGTGCTCATATCGTGGATATGTATCGCTGAAAACACATCGAAATTCACCGATTTCCTCAGCTTGCTTACAGGTTTCCCTTTATCCGCTTGCTCCTGGAGCTGCTGTATAAACGTCTATGTCATGGAGCCGCCCGCGGTGACTTCATGTAACTCTCAAAGCTCCTCCAATGGGTTAGCTAATGTGTTATAAAATTTTGGAGCAATCCTATTATGCATTTGTAGGTGTATTTTCCTCCTCTTTACAGACAAATTACTTTTAGGATGGAAAAGGTACGACGTCAGGCCGCGGATTACCTGCAGATAGATCCTTCTAGTACATTCATAAACAATGCTACTCGAAACTTCGAAGATCTACCAGAAAATTTCCTGGACACTATCAGTCCTCAACAAAGTTCGCAGTCGTTAGGACAACTGATGAACGATCATGCGAACAGTCCGCAGCTTGCGCCATTAGCTCCTATGAGCATAGGCTCGGATCAGAGGTTTATTCACTCATTTTCATTAATCGCTTCGGTAGTAAATTCAGTAATTTTTCAGTGGCCCATACATGATGTCAATCGGAAGTCAATATCAAGAGCAGATTCGGCATCCTGTGCTAGACAAATCAAGGCTCGATAGGTGTGTTTCCCGTGCTCTTAGTGCTCTTATCGTGACTGTTATTACCTTTTTACTACTTTGTTGTTTACTTTTATCTAGATGCAGTTGTTTTTGTCGACAAGTATGGGAAGTCCTACTTGACGATATTTTTTCATTCATGTCGTTGCAACATTTACCTTTGTTACACATTTTTTCATGAACGTGGCGGCCTTTGTACCACAAGTTTTTGTTTCATGTACGAGGCACATCCTTTGGATGCAGAGCATTCACTGTATAATCAGATACTTGTCAGAAGTGAAGATGAGGAATTAACTTGACAGAAATGTTATTAGGGTCACTAGCAAATATCGAAATAAGAGCTTCTTTAGCCTGATTCTTTTCACATTTCTGTAAGCAAACTTGGAACATGAGACTTCTGTGTCCGTGCTCTTTTGTGTTTAGCCATCCCACGTTCATATTTCCGCGCTGCAGTGAGGTTCTTTGAATGAGCTCATTTTTTTCGAGCTTGATGTAAATCCAAGTTTTTGATTCTTAACGGAGTCGAAAGGATTTTTTGAATAGAAGTGAGTTCGCTTTAGCTTCGGCACTGGACCTGCCGGCCTGCTTTCGCCTCTCCATTTGGACAGTCACAGCCGTCGACTTGCGGGAAATTCTGAATTCGCTCGACATGTTTACATCAAGGTCAGCTTTATATTTTCAGTATACCTTTATCGTCCTGCGGCAACAGGTCATTTTTCATTCCACGTTTTTATGATCCACGATTTACTAGCTTGCTTGATTGTTGTAGTTTATCGACCTTAAATGTTCGTACTGTTCAGGAAGAAACAGACCCTCTTGATGCGGCTTCCCATCACCTGCTCATGCAGCAACAAATACCTTTAACCTCTCAGC